CCTTCAAGGATGCAGTAGCTTGTTAAACCGAGCATATAGATATTTACCTATCTGTGCAAACGGAGTCACTTACAGTTTTTAGTCATCAGTAATCCAACCAAGGCAAAGGTATTGACCAAAGATTCAACTAATGAGTAAAGTTCTTCTGCTCTGCTCCTTTGAACTAGTCAGGTGACTTGCTATCAGGTCATTCGGATGATATGGCAGAGGAGAACTGCAGATGCAGAGTAACCAGGCAAAAGTTCCGCACTAGCCAAGCCCTGTTTTAACAGATAGCATAAGTAATGTACTCCTCGTCGTTAAGGATTGGGATGAAAAAGCTGAATAACCATAGAACATAAGAACACTATTGCGGTACGTGTCGCGTCTGGTAATTCTGTGCTGTGCATCGAATTTATAATAAAACCGTGAAAAATAACAAATGCATCGGTTTTGTGCAATAAGAGCAAAAGTATTCAACCTGAAGTCCGCAGACATGACCAGCTTCAAAATGTCAAGCAGTCGAACAGGTTACGTCACCCAAGCATGTGGATAAGCTTACGTAACACAGTCAGTCGGGTTTTTTAACATATGTACAGAGACTATTCTTGCTTTTAACAGTGCTAAACAAACCTGTTCACAAACTCGGATCAATGTATATACTGCGTTCCGTCTCCTTTTGCAACAATTGTTTCTTTTACCTTATGCTGATTTTCATAGCCTTAGACGGCCCTATAACTATGTTTAAGACTTCAAATTCTTGGAAGATACTTGGAACCAATCGAGTAGTCATGAGTTCAGAGAGTTTTGGAAACAATCGGTTGGTATAGTAGTTTGGTAACGTTTCGCCCTCGGCACGAGAGCTTCGTCAGACCAGGTGTGCGATTAGTGTGGGATTTTATAGCGAACAGGGACGAGGGCAAGACGTTACCAAACTACTATACCAACCGATTGTTTCCAAACCTCTCTGAACTTATGTTTAAGACTGTTGCAAATAGACATATGCGTGGCCCAGCTACCAGCTAATATGTAACAGCCCCACTCCGTATGATCAGGTGGAGGAGTGACTGATGGATATGACGCAACTAACTGCTTGTGGTGACGAAACGAAGGGTCACTTCTAGAGCGGAAAGTGAAAGGCAGTCAATCACCACAACTCTGCAGGTAAATCAGAAGCATCAATAGTATGTGATTTGATAGTTAATTTATACAGCTTATTTACAAGGTGTCTAAGCTAAGGGTAGGACGACACCGATACACAAGGCCAGCTATAGTATCCTGTTCGAATTGACAGTAACGCAGGAAAAAGCGAGCGCGATTCGATTCGGTGACGGCGCAAATGAAGCCCGAATACCAGAGTGCGCGAGGTTGTGTAGCGTATCGAAAACTTTTCGATGAAATGCCGTAGGCACAAGTGGGCGTGGATGTTCAGTGGATATATGGCAGTAGACAATAGGAATGGTTTCGGAACCAACTTCATCGAGGGTTCTTGCTGCGCAACGGACGTAGCTGACAGATCAATTGTTTGAACTGTCGTAGATAAGGCGTTTACTCTGGAGATCATGTCCGCTACGATGTTGACCCACCATAAATGGGTTGAAGGTCGGTCGAAAACTGGAAGACAAAACTCAGATGATGAACTAGACATAGAGAACATCGAGGCGACGGGCTACGGAAGGCGCAGATCAGCGGTTTGGAATCGATGAACATCGTGAAATGGCTACCCACCAGAAAATGTAGTAGTAGCGAACAGTAGAATACACGGTGAGGAATTCGCGGCCAAACGTGCTGAAGTTCATTTCAGCTATCTGTAAGGCGTCGAGAGAAGAAATACTGAAAGACAGCGCTGATGGCGTTTTCCGAGTCCACGACTGCTAAAATGATTGGAGAATTTGCATCAAAATGACGCAGCATGAAGGAGTACTAATGCTTCTTTGCTGGCTTCAAAGGCTAGTTCTGCTTCAGGCGTGAGATCAAACATGCCGTTGCTGCGCCTACGCAGAAAGCCCGTGAGCAGTTACATCAGCTCGGTGCAGCGTGATGTGAGCCGGCGATAGTAGTAGATCATGCTATTGAGACCATGAACAACGATTTGTTACGGGTAAAAAGGGTGCTTGACAAGTCCAGTAGAATGGTTGGAGTGAAATAAATGGATCAAAGGATGAGTGAATAGTCTGTTTAGGCGCCTACAACTTAAACTGCAGTGCTACATTATGATCGTTTGAAATAAGAATTGAATGTGTGCACACAAAGCAATATGGAGAGTGGTCATAGTTCACGTAATCCGTGGGAAAAATAAATAGATTGTGGAGCAGACAATGCTCATACGTGTGCAGCTTCTTTAGGTGGACGGGATAGGTAACTACAGTTTCCACAGTAGTAGCGTTTAAGAAATGATGTGTAGGAAGTGAAAATGAGCACGTTGATTTGTAATGCTAGGTTGACGCCCGGACATAGAGGGTTCTATGGCGTAATGTAAGTGTGAGTGCATCATCGATATTATTGAATATCGTTGGTGTGGTGGAAGAAACAACGGAAGTGGGGATGGCGTTTCATGGTTAGCACAGGCGAAGTGAAAAGAACTTCCGGCAGCATTCCAACCGGACGTCCGAAGTATTCAGCTTTAGCTGGTAAGCTCTCAGGGTGGTAATACGATCCAGCCTCAGAAGGTGATTACAAGCGTGGTTTGGGCTCTTCAGGATCAAATATGTCATCATTAAATCCCCACGCAGGCGTCGATATTTCCCTATGTAGATCCCAAGGGTTTTCAACCTCAGTTGGTAAGGGAGATGAAACAGACCCTTAACGTTCTTGGTAACCCTTCGTTGTAGCAGTTCAAGTGCTATGACGTAGTGTTTGTGTCACGGCTACCAGGCGTGAATGGTGTATGCCGAATGGGGCCTAATGTATACATTGAACATCCGAGAGAAGATTAGAGGGTCAAAACGCCTGAACGCTCTCCGTAAAAAACTTGGCTTTTTTTGGACGCCTTCTCGGTCTGACGTGAACAGCCAAAATCCTCTTGTACTATCACACCTAGATCGCATTCAGTGGTAGCCCGCTGCAAAGCATGATTCTCAGCCTGTACTCGCAAGTAGATTGGCGGAGTAGGCTCTGTGTGTTACACTTGGTCGCGTTGAAAGGAACCAGGTTCTGAGTCGCCCATACGTGTATCCTATCAAGGTCATCCTGAAGCGCCATGTGGTCACTTTTTGATTTGATGGCCCGCCATATGTTAAGGTCATCAGTGAAGACTAAGAAATCGGAAGTACTCACTCTTGCAAGATCGTTTATGTAAATCGAAAATAGGCATGTACCAAGTAAATATAGGCATTGTACACCTAAATGGGTGCATAATCAGCACTTACACTATCACTGCGGACACATTAAATGAATGGGACCAGTTAGAAATATATATATATATATACAGATTGAAGAATTAAATAGACAAATGTGTGTAAATGTCACTAAAGGAGCAGTATGCGTAAAGCATTCATGACTTTCTTAGGGTCGACAAGAAGGCGTGACAACTAAGGCAAGATTGTGTCGCGATTCGAAGAAGTGCGAGAGAACATAATCCTAAATTTTGTACGCGTTGTAGAGACAGAAAACGTTTTTGAGCGAGCATTATGTAGCGGATGAAAGCGGTCACTTAGAGCCTTAGAAGAAAAATTGGTGAAAACGTCGAAATGCTTACGACTATGGAACCTCTAGGCAAACCACCACATCTGGAAATATGTTTAATCAATCCCACAATCAAAACAGCCCTTTTGCAGTAATTCATGGAAAATTACTGAAGAACAGTACAACCAGTGGAGTAGTATCAATGCAGTTACAAGTTGCAAGATCAAACTTCGCGTTACGGAAAATTTCTTAGGGCAGAAAGCATAAAGAGATAACCTTCTGACCTTGTGAAATATCACCAAGACCTACATGGACCAAGAGAGGTATTGGGAAAAATAGTGACCGAGCTATCTGACAGTGAAAGAAATAGGCATGATTTTGTCCTCCAAAGTTAATGGAGGAGAGGCATATAAGACTGCTCGCGATTTATCAGGGCAGAGAAATGAAAATGCTACTTCAGTACATTTCAAAGCATTAAGGTTAAGGGGTCCGGTTGATAACCAACCAACAAGTTCGTATAAACCACGTTGAAGCGTAGAGATCTAAAGCGAAAGCTCTGCACCCCAAGACAACATCGTCAGCATACTTACATCCATTGAATCTTGATAGTATGGGGACTTTCGACATATAAACAGAATAAAAAGGATGAGAGGATCGCGCCCTGAAAAACACCAGATATATCGCGGAGCATAGAGGAGCTTTACCCGTTACACTAGGTAAAGTGTGTAGGATAAGTGAAATAGTCACGCAACAAGTTGCCAACATCACGGCGGGCTCCGTTCAAAGAAAGCAGGTCAAGCAAAACTGATCTGCCAAGACTCACGAACGCACTTGAATAATCAAGAAAAAGGGGCCTACCGACCCGCACTGTTTAGCCCACGCAGAGGCTATTGAATGCATAAAGTAGGAGATGGCATTTAGCGCAGAGCGCTGGGGTCTACACGGAAGCTAGTAGACATCATCAGTATGAGTAACTGAAAATCCCTGGAATTAGTAGCATTTCGAGGACTTTTAAGAGCATGGAAGTACAAGCAATTGGCCGGCACTTTTAAGTAGCACTTTTTAGTAGCTGGCGTTATTCTGACTGACATCCAGATGTCTGGGGTGGCACCGGTGGTGAGTAAGGGGTTAAGTGAGAGAATCGGCGCACTGCTTCGAAACCACAGGTAATAAAGCATCAGGGTCACCAAAGTTACTTGAATTTAACCTCTTCAGTTCTCTGTTGACGTCACTTTGATCAAATAGAGCGGCTGGGCCTGAGCTAGTGAAGAAAGATAATGGAATAGCGCTCGACGGAGAGGAAACAAACTCAGAATTGAGTTTGAAAAGCATAACATTCTCAGTGATTCATCAAGAACATCAATCTGAGGCAAACAATTGTTTTCAAGGATTCATCTACCGTTCTCTGCCGTGTATAGTAGTGCATGGTCTCCCGGGCTATTGCGACCTCCATCTGGTGACGAATAAGGAGGAACCTACCATCCTGAGCAGCACGGATACTACATTAATGACCGATGGCTGGGGCTTACACTCTCGCTGCTCTGTTGTGTACAAATTGACCACCTGTGAAATTACAAGCTTGATCGCTTCGTGAATATAGCCGATTTTTTAAAATCGATAATCGGAGCTACAGCAGATGATCTTGAGCGATTCATCAAGCTGCAGCCTGTTGTTTTTCAGCTGACCCCTTGGACTGTTTTCCCCAATCCCAGCTTGTCACTTTGAAGATCTCAGGGTGGTTGTACCCATCCCAACCTCATCCGCAGCCGACATGGACGCAGTCAAGTACTTTCAAAGTCTTCTGCGCAAATGTGATCGCTGGATACATGTAAAGAGCTCGGCTGGCCATCTTTCTCAGGATAGTTTCCTCGTAAAAATTGAGTTAGCTTCCACTATTCCAGTACAACTGATGGCACTTGTACCACAGATTTGCTTCAACAGTATCCAGAGATCCCGGCAGCTACGGTTTCCCAGTACCGTTCCGATGTATAAAATGTTTAACCGTATTATTTCGGCTTTAATTGCAAAAATCAGCCTTTTGACGAGGGTGGCCATTCTTAAGTTGTAAACACGTTCCTTTTTCCTTCGAAGTTGTCTTAACAGGGGTGAAAAAGCTATCCGCTAGCAGGTAGATCGCGTCGATTTGGCAGCATAGGTGGAAGCAAAAGTTTACATAATTCGTGAGAGGACCCCAATAAAGCGATAGATCTACATCGACAAGAACTGAAAGGTACGTTGAAGAAAGCGTTACTTGAAGTCGTGCGATATTTTCCGCTGAGCGGTTGCGTCGTTGGATAGTCCTGAATTGTTATTTCATCAGTGCGGCGTAAATAGTTTTACTGTAGATTAGGGTAAACCTTTAGAATCCAATGCTCCGAATTACTTGATGGTGCACGTTTTTGAATGGCAAACAGACGAGTTTTGTTTGTGTAGACAACATCAAACTGTGCATCTGGTCTGATCAGGAAAGTTGCTAAATCTTTCAGATCAGGTGACTTACAGAAAGTTGTACCACATTTATTAAAATCACCGAAACAATGCAGACAGAGTATTCTAGTTTTGGCAGCAATGCCAAAGTTGCTCAACTAAGAGCCTCAGTTCAGACGATGATGTATCAGGAGCAATGTAAAAAGTTCCCAAGACAACGGATTGAAAGCCACTGAGAAATTTAGGCTTGCAATTAAGTAAATGACAGCTTATAGAGCTTGTAGAGTGAGCAAATAGTTGATTGATTGAGCTGCACCAGAGTTGCTTAACGTACGTGATAACGACCTGTGGCACTCTGCGCTTAACATCGATCGGGTCAGAGATGGAACCTAAATAGTGCTTGTATTTTAGCAAGTGAATTCCTTGTGAACACACACTTTCGCGTCTTGCTGCGTATGAATGCCTTTGCTCTCATTGCACACGGATGTACTGGGAACTAACTTGTTGAATTGCTGAACAAAATCCCACCAGACGACATTGGGATCAGTTCAGCTAGAAATGACCAGTCAGTGGTATTAAGGAATGTGGACAGAACGGTGTAATCGGCAAGAAACTGGGAGTCAGTGGCGTTTTCTGCGGTATACTCCAAATAACAGATGTAGTTGAATAAGAGTGTTGCATGATCGCGGCGACTCAAAGGAGTAGCTATCGATGCCGTTTCGATCATAAGCTCCTCGTTGGTGAACCCAAGGTCGAGGACACTTGGATTACTTCCCCTCCTGAATCTTGTGGGGGAGGCAACGTGGTTGTATAGTGGTAATCCAACGAGTAGCTCCTGCAATTCCATCTTGAAGTTCTCATCGACAGGCTGGGGTTACTATGGCGTGAAGATTAAAGTCGCCAACCAGGAGAATGCGAGTGTGTGTCTGCGAGGATAGCTTCCATAGTGGAGGCTAGGCGATTGTGCATTTCTGAAGTTGATGACGGAGGGCGGTACACAATGTCCAGTACACGTCATCACGTCGTAGATGAAGACGATCCCAAAGAACGTCAAGAATCTAGACATCCGGGTAATCAATGAGATCAAGGGGTAGCTCACTACGACAATAGAGAAGTAGCCCACCTCCTCTAATCGGGCGATCGCTGCGCAGAATGGACATTCCAGGTAGTACGATTTCAGCGTCTGCGATCACTTCACTCAATGATGTCTCGGTTACCATGTTGAGATCGCACGACACCATAGCACGATGTAACGGAAACTGTGTCAGTTTGCTGAAAAGGCTTTGTGCGTTGGTTTAAAAACAAGTGTCTTATATGATAAAAGGTTGTTAGAAGTTGCAGACAGCAGTTCTGAGACTTGGCCGACCCTTGTGAAGTCGGCTGCTACTCATTTTGTGACGAGTCACCGGTTATCGAGATAGAGTTGGGATACATAGCTGCACCAAACACTTCAGGCCATGATGACCCTGCTACTCAATTGAGCCCTGCGAAGTTTCTCAAGATGTCATGACGCCCGTTAAATAAGTCGCTGCGTTGGACTGCCCAACGGCCATCCTCTCTGGATTAGCCATCCCTATTGAGTAACCTGTAGCCCGTGGTCGTGTCCCTGTTGCCTTCCGTCGAATTTCTGTTGGTAGTATGTTACGGAACTTAGCCCAGTTCTCTAGAAGGGTCTGTACGATTAGCTCAGAACGTAAAATCAACTGCAGCAATCTAGGACCACATTCTCTGTAAGTAGGTGACACGGGAATCCTTGTCAAGGAAGTGTCAATGACATCAAGAGAGTGCCTTACGAGTGTATGAAATGGGAGCTAACGTGGTTGAACGAGGAAAGTCACGGATTGTCTGAACTCTGTCTTGCAGAGGTCAGATCCTCGTAATGCACTTGGTCTCTAAGGAAATCTACGCGCGGCTGCATGAAAATGCACTTGTTGGGATTGATAGCGACGTAGAGGGCTTATAACTGTTTGAACAAGTCACCGGTACGTTCGGTGTTCCTGTTCCGATCACTAGATATCGATCACTAGATATCGTCCATGTACGGGTGGACGAAGTTGAGTCCACCTATGACGGAGTCAGTGAGAGGTGAAATGTCTGTGCAACGTTGCGAGTGCCGAGTGGCATTCGCAGGAACTCAAAAAGTCTAAAAGGCGTTATGACAGCGGTCTTAGGAATATCCTCCTTGGCGAGCTGAATTTGAAAATAGGTGTGCACCAGATCGATCTTCGAGAAGATGCGGGAACCATGAAGAGTAGCCATGATATCCAGGATAGGTAGGATGGGACATCGGACAAACACTAGCACGTTCTTGAGCGTGCGATAAGTTACACTTGCTCACCAGACTTGATATTTTTAGTATCACGTAGAGGAGCGAAGATCATAGGTTGTTTGGTAGTCGGACGATCCCAAACTCCAGTATGTACTCGAATTCTGAAGGAGCAATTAAGAGCTTGTCTAGGGTCAGCCTGTGGGCACTTGCGGAGACGGTCAGACCCTTGGTAATTTTACGATGCAACGTAAAATCGTTCGCCGTCGAAAAAGGTGACACATATCGAAGGACCTCCGGGAGTTCCTCGAGTAGTGAGTTATCGACGGACGAGTTGGCACTAGCATATCCCGGGTTGAGTGATGCAACGTCATTTGATATTCTAGTGACGGAAAATTTCGTTGTCTCGTCAATGAGCCGTTGGTGTTTAGCGCTAATGAGAAAATCGAAAGATTGAAAAAAATTCATCCTGATTATGGGTCTCTGGACGCTAGCAAAGAGAGAAAAATCATTTGAATGATCGCATCAGACTAAGGTTGAGCGGGCGGGAGCAAGAGCTGCAAACAGGAAGTGTCGTTCCGTCGGTAGCGGGTAAGTTGGTAGACGCGTTGTTTATTCTGTTCACTAATTGCCGTTGAAGTAGAAAGTTGGCAATCAAGATTAAAAGAGGGTCACCGATCCCGTAATGATGAAGCTTGGAGAGTAGTATCCGATGGTCTAGACGATAGAAAGCTTCCGAAAAATCCAGGAAGATCACATGAACACCTCCTCCAGCGTCAGCTGCCTCGGTCCAACTATTGCGTACCACCAGCAAATTCGTTGTGCATGACCGCTGTTGGCGGAAACCGTGCTGCTCAGGTGTGATGATGTTACATTTTTCAAGGTAGCGCACCAGTGCATCGACAACTATGGATTCTCTGACGTTGGATAGTATACGAAGTAGGGATACTAGGCGGTAGTTGGAGTAATCAGTCCTGCTTCCACTTCTGTGAATGGGGGTTGTTATTCCAAACTTCCACATAGCGGTCTAAACAGCGCCGGAAAAACGGCGCTAAAGGTCCTGCTAGTTGGCTTGCTGCTGCTTCCAGTGCCTCTGGACAAATGGTGTCGACATAAAGACGTCAGGTTTTGAAATACAGCTTCCGCGGTAAAAGTGATATGGGTTAGTCCTGGAGAGGAAACGACAAAGGTAGGTAGATCGCTTGGTAGCAAGACCCTCAGAAAGGTGGGGGCAGATTGCATCCGCAGCGCGTTTGCTGCTTCCAAATCCGTTCTTGTTGAGCCATTAGCCGTCCTGAGTGGAGGAAATACTTGCCTCACCTTTCGTAGGCTATTGACGTGTTTGTACAGCAGTTTGTGGGTAGCACTGAAGATTTTTGCGATGGTCTGCTGATAGGCGGCTTTTTCTTCTCTTAGCAGTTGTGTGCAGTGGTTACTTTGTGCTACGTAACTGTTCCATGATTTTGGTGCTGGAGCTTCTCTGTACACTCGCCATGCTGCATTGCGTACTGTCATCCATTTTTGAGAAACGAACTTACATTTATTGCAAACTTTTATCCCTGAAGCCTCTGCAATCAGCTGATTGAATTTTTTGACGGACTCGAGCCAGGCGACTTCCGGGGGTTCTTCGTCAAGGAACGACCAAGTTGTGGCGCTGACGAGCTGGGCTAATCGATCGAGCTTGTGATGGTTCGCGTAGTCTCATCGTTCTCATCCCGATATTCCGCACAGCAGACTAAGCTGAAACCGGTGACTGAGTGATCACTGTGACCCAACGGGCAGTCCACAACCAACACCAAGCATATGCTCCTCGTTAGTAAGCACAAGATCCAGCACAGATGGGCTGTTACCTGTTCTGAACCGAGTGGGCAGTGATACGATTGTAAAGAGGAACAGTGGTTACGAGATCTTGTAGATCGCCTGTGAATTGTTCTCCGATCGTGGCAAGAGTTTCTACACAATGTAGGTTGAAATCACCCATGAGAAATATGTGAGTGTACTTTCGTTGTAAACTGCATTTTAAAGCAGCCGCTAAGTGGTAGTCGGTTACGGGTATTAAGTTAGGGGCGCGGTGCGGTGTTGCGGCTCGGCGCCCTCCCGCCAACGCCATCGGAGCGTCTGCCCCGCCGCGCGCCGCGGCGCGCGACGCGGTGTAATCGCCGCCCGGCCTGGTGTCCGGGACCCGCTCGCCGCGGAACGGCCCCCGCTCCGCGGTCTGCACGCGACGAACCGCGACCACCCCCCGCCGCTGGCTCCGCGGTGAGGTCCCTCCCCGGCGCGCGCCCGTTACCCGAGCGATGCACCGCGGAGCGGTGTAGTCGAGGTGTCTCCGGTCGCCCGGGTTCCCAAACGCGCAGCGCCGCGGTGTTGTACAGACGCACGTGCGCTCGAGGTGTTCTGCTATGCATCAACGAGTGCGCCACGTCGCCGCCACGCCCCCCCAGCGCGCGCCGTCGGCCCGCGGCTCCAGCGAATCGACGCCGGGACCACCCGCCCACGCGGTGTTCGGGCCGAAGCCCGCGTCGCGCACGCGGCCCGCGATCTTCGCCCTCCGGCTCACGGGCGGCCGCGGTCGCCCGCCCGTTCCCGCGGTTTCGTCGGCGCGCGCGCAGTCGCGACGCGGCGAGGGTCGCAGCGGTGTCGCCCGCCGGCCTTCCTGGCGCCGTCGCGCGCGGACAGCCCCCCCGGTCGCGGGTGTCGGACCGCACGCGCCTGCCCCGCGCGGTTCATCGTGGCCAGGCACACGGTAGACGCGGCACGCGCTTACGCAGCGCGACAGCGGCCACCGCGACAGCGCTCGCCACGCGCCGCAGCGCGCCGCGTCCACCGCCGCGGTTGGGCCCGGCGCGTCCCGCGGCGGTCGGTCCGCAGCCGGCGCCTCACCAGCGTTCGTCCGAGCGACCGTGTGTCGCGCAGCCGCGCCGGTCGCACCGCGCCGCTCGGGTTGGCAACGTAGCCGTCCCGCCGAGCGGCCCGCGGTGTCCGCCGCCACACCGCCCCGGCGCTAAGACGCGCGCGGTGCCGCCGCGCGCGCCGCGCGCCGCGCGCGCCGACGCGCGACACGAGACGGGCGCGCGCCGGCGGAGGTCGGACCGGCGAGCCGCACGCCGCCGTGGGCCGGGTCCACCCGCTCGAGTTACCCAACCGGCGGCTCCGCCCGCCCCCCTGAGTCGCCTCGCCGCACGGCGGCCCGCGTTGGCCCCGCGGTTCTCGCCCCGGCGTCCGCTCCGTCGGTTCCGCGGGGTTGCGCGCCGCGCGCGGCGCCCCGCCCGCTCCTGCGCCCCCGCGCCCGCCCTCACCGCCGCGCGGTCCGCGCGGCGCGCGCGTAGCCGCGGTGTAGATGGCCCTGCTGTCGCGCGGCACTGCGCGCGCGTCCGGCGCCCGCCCCGCGCACGGTGGCGGCGCGCCCGTGGCGCGGTTGTGCGGACGCCCGGCACGCGGTGTGCCTTCCCGCGCCGGCGCCGACGCCGCGCGCACGCCCCGCCCGAGCGCCGCGCCGTGGGGCCAGCGAGTGTAGGATAGCACGACCCGCGCGCGACGCCGCGCCGCGGGCACCCAGCGCGCGCGGTGGGGCGGACGAGCGCCAGTGAGCGAACCGCCTGCGACGGCGGCGCCCGCGCGGCGCCGCGTCGCGGTGCCCGGCGCCGGCGAGCGCGTCGCGGTTTTGGCCCCCGCTAGCCGCGGGCCGTGCCGCGCCGCGCACGCCGCCGCGTCGTCCTACCGCGACTGCCGGGCGCGCCCGGCGGAACGCGGCGGCCCGGCGAAGCGCGGCCGCGCCGCGCCACGCCGACAATTTGCGACGGTTCGGCTGCTCCCGCGCAGACGCCGCGCGGTGAGCGCCCCCCGCGCGCGCGCTTTTCACGCCGCGGGATCCGGGCTCGAACCACGTCCCGACGCGTCCGCGCCCCGCGGTGCGCGGCGGGCACCCCACCCCTTTCGGCGCAGCCGCCCTCGCTCTCGCGGCTGCGCGCGCGCCTCGCCTCGTCCCGGTCGGCCGCGCTGTCCGGCCCGGTCCGCGACGCGCGGTGCGGTCCCGCCGCGCGCCGTCGCGCGCCGCGCGACCCGCCCCGCCAACGCCGCGGTTTCCCGGTTGCGCGCGCGCGCTCGCGCGCGGCCCCGCCGCGCGCTCGCGGTGTAGGACTAGTTATTACTAGTCCGAGACGGTAGCGGCCGGCGCCCCCGCGGCGGCGCGCGCGCGTCTCGCGGCCCCGCGGTGTAGGCCCCGCGCGGTTAGCGGCACGCGCCGGGGGGGGTCTCGCTGCGCAGTACGCGGCGCACGCGTCGCGGCGCGGGTAGCGGTCGCGGTTCGCGGTGGTGGCGCCCCGAGACCAGCGGTGTGGTGCAGCCCCGGGCCGGGTTGACGCGCGGTCCCTCGGCGAGCGCGCGGTGTATCGCGGTGTCGGGGTCCGCGCGCGCGCGCCTCCGCGCTCGCAGGTGGCGGCTCCGCGGTTTCGCCGCCGGGCGCAGTCTCGCGCCGCCGCCCCGGGCCCGCGGCGCTCCGGCAGTCCGCCCCGCGCGGTCGCGCGCCCCCGCGGTTCCGCGACCGCGGTACCCCCCGACGGCCTCGCGCGCGAGATCGGCTATCGCGGTCGGACAGCGGTCCCCGCGCGCGGTTGCGACCGCGGTGTGTACGTCCGCCGTTCGCCGGAGCCGCGGTTTCCCGTAATGTCGCGCACGACGCCCGCCCCGCCTCCCTTGCCGCAGCGGCCGAGCGGTCTATCGCTCGACGCTTACGCCGCGACCGGCCGAAAGCTCGCGCCGGCACGGCATGCGTTCGCGCGGTGTTACATCCGCGGTGGCCCGCGGCGCGGATCACGTCGTTCCGCCCGCGCCGGTTGTTGTGGCCGTCGGTCGCTCCCGCGCGGACGGCGACCGCTCGTGTACGCTGCGGCCGGCGCGGCTGCTGGTGGCGCCCCCGCGCGCTCGCGGTAGTCCGACCCCCGGACCCTGCCAGCGGCGCGCGGTGTCTAGCGCCACGTGGAGCTTACGCGGTTGCCGGCGCCGGTCGCGGTGCGTGGCTACAGAGGGCCGCGCTCGCACACGATTGTGCCCGCGGGCCCCCCGGAGCGCGCGAACCCCGCCGGCCCATGGCGCGGGGCACCGCGCCGGGTCCGCGGCGGGAACGGTCGCGCGGTCTCCGCGCGGGTTCCGCCGCCGGCCGCGGGTCCTCGCCGTCGCCGCACGTCCGCCGCGACCGCCCGCGCCTCGCGGTTTAAGCGGCGCAGAGTCCGGCGCGCGCGGGCGCGGGCCGCGACGCGCCGCCCACGCGCACCCAGAGCGGCGCGCTGAGCCGGCTGCCACTGCGGCGCGGCGGTTTCGCGACTACGCGCGGGTGCGCGCGCGACGGGTCGCCGCGGCGCGTACTCCCCGCGGGCACAGACGCGGGCCGCGATCCAGCGCAGGCCACCGCGGTACCGTCCGCGGTGCGGCGGCCGCGCGGACCGCGCCCCCTCGCTGCGCCCGCCGAAGCGCGGCAGTCCGCGCCCCCCACGGCCCCGTGCGGCGCGCGGTGCCCCGCCAGCGGCACGCCGGGCGCGGGCCGTCGCACGACGCCGCGAACGCGTCCGTCACGCGACACAGTGCGCGCGGTGTTGAGCGGCCGAGCGGTCCCGACGGGATCCCTTGCCCGTCGTGGCGGTTTCCGCGACAGCGCGTGCGACGGTGTGCGCCGCGGAGGTACGCGCGGTTCACGCACCCACGTACACGTAGTACGCCCGGCCACGGACGCCGGCCCCGGCACAGATCCGTGACCCATCGCGGCCCGCCCCTCGCGGCACACCGCGGTGTTGTACGCCCCGTCCCCTCCGGCGATCACGCCGCACGTCCCAGCGGCGCCCGCCGCGTGCGCCTCGCGGTGTGTCGCCGTGCGCACGCGGCCCCGGCTGCGACGATGGCACCTCCGCGAGCCATCGGACAGCGAGCGCGGTCCGGGCAGGACGACGGACGGTGCGCGCGCGTCGCGCCAGCGCGGGCGCGCGGTGCCGCGCCGTGCGCGAGGTGAGCTACGCCCGCGGCGGCGGCTCGCAGCACCCGAGGCGCGTCGGCCGCCACAGCGGTACGCTACGCGCAGCACACCCCAGCGTGGGCGTCGGCCCGCCGCGCGTTTGCGCGCGGTCGGCGTCCGTCCCACGCGGCGCCCCGCTCCCCCTAGCCGGGGCTGCGCAGCCTCGGCGCGGTGCCCGCCGCCAAGCGCCGGCGACGCGGTCGCAGCCACGCGGTTTGTGCCCTGGCGCAAACGCTGGAACGCGGTCGAGACATGTCGCGAGCGCGCGCGCGTCGTGGGCGCGGTGTGCTAGCCGCAGGGACGCGCGGTTCGCGCCGCGGTCGCCGCGCGGAGTGCGCCGCCGCCTCCGCGCGGGGCCGCGGCCCCCGCCGCCGCTACACTGAGCCGCAGCGCCGCGCGGCGGTGTCCCGGCCGGCGCGGTTCCGCGCGCCCGCGCGGCCAGCCGTTCGTCATAGCGCTAAGCGCGCCTTGTCCGCCCCGCGCGCCAGCGGTTGTGCTCCGCGGTGCGCCCTCCCGGGCGCGGTCCGACCCGGCGCGTGCGCGGTGTACGCACCTCGGCGCCGCGCCGCGCGGGTTCGCGGTTGTTTACAGGCCAGCGCTGCGTCGCGGCGCGGTGCGTACTAGCGGACGCGCGCCCCAAGTCCGCCCCGCGGTGTCCTCGTACGCGAGAGCAGCCGCTCGGGCCGCCTTCGCCGCCAGTTGGGCGCGCCCCAACGCGGTGTAGTTATCGGTGCCGCGCGGTGCCGCGCTGCCCCGCGGTGTACCACCGTGACGCGGTTGCGCCGGTGTTCGCTGCGCGCCCGCGCGGCCCCGGCGGTGCGCGTGTGCAGATCGCCCCCCCGCGTGCCCGTCGGTGGCCGCGTCGCGCGTGGCGCGGCCGACCGTGTGACGGCGCGGGTTGTAGGACTCACGGTCCATGCGCGCGCGCGCGCCGCGACGCCTGCGCGCTGACCCGCCGCTCGACTCGCGGAAGCGGGCGTCGCGCGCGCCCCGGCCCTGCGCGCGGCCTCCCCGCTTCGTCGACTGCGCGCGGTCGCGGGCCGGCGCGCGCGCAGGTACGCGGGGCGCGCGGAGGCGCACGCGGCGGCCTACATCGCCGCAGCCGCGCGGACCGAGCTCCGGGCGCTGCGGCCGCCCCGCGCTGGCCCTACCCGGCTCGCAGCGGTGGCACGGGGCGTCCTCCCGCGGTTCGGCTACCGTGCGCGTCGGCGCGCGCGGCTTCGCGCGGGGCGCCGAGCGGGTCGCGCGCCGCGCGCGGCGCGTTGCCCGCACGCGCGCATCGGCGCCCGCGACACCACGGCGCGGTGAGCCAGCCGACCGTGCGACAAACCGCGGTTCCCCCCCACGCGGTACACTGCGCGCCCCCGAGCGACGCGCAGCGGCACGCGCTCCGCCGACCGGGGACCATTCAATCTCCGGTCCGGCTGCGACCCGCGCCAGTCGCCCGCACTCCGCGCGATGTCGACGCATCCGGAGGCGGTTGGCGCGGTGAGCGGTGCCCACGGCGCGCGCTCCGATGCCACGCGGTCCCCCAACGCACGCCCGCACACGCCGCCGGGCGGTTGCGGTTGTGCCCGCGTCGCGCCGTGCGCGGTGTAGGACTAGTTAATACTAGTCCGAGACGGTGCGCTAAAGTAAACGCGGATATCAGAAGGCAATGGGAGTCGGACACAGCGGATTGTATTCGATGGGCTACAATAGGAAGTGGACGGATGAAACGAGGCAAGAGCGTACACGTGAGCGCGGGAACTTACAAGGCAGTTGTGTGTCGAGCCGGTTTTAAGATTAAAACAATAAGGAGTAATGTACAATCGGTCAACAAGTAAATTGTACATGAAAGATAAGAGTTATCTTTTTGGGCGCTACAGCGGTACACCAAGAAAATAAGGCAACCGTCCCTGCTTTTTAACTAAAAGCGGCACCAAAGATAGTCCGGGAACTGCGAGTCTGAATCCTCCATGGCTTCGCACTGTAAGTCGCTTTGGGAATACAAGATTACCCCCCCCCCATTTGTGAGCCTGTCGTTCCGGATCAGCGACATGCCCGGTAGTGAAACTTCAGCGTCTGTCATTCACGTGTGCAACCATTTCTCAGTGATACCAGTGACATCATATGACCCGGAAACTTGGTGATCTTTCAGTTCGGCCAGTTTATTAAAAAGACTCTGAGCATTCGTATACAAGCAGGCCCGTTTCTCGGTCTCTAGGAGCTCACAGAGGGATAAAGGGGTCAAGTGTGGGAGAACGCCGAGCGATGGGAGGTTGGCAGTTACTCGCTCTTTTGATGGGATAAGGATACCTCATCTGAAACTTCATTCGGCAAAGGTGCGCCCCAATTTTCGTTTAGACCTACGTCAGAGTCAATTAAAGCAGCAGTCAAGTTAGGCCTCTGTACATTCGTCGGTACGCTTGCTGCTTCAGGTGCTTTAATATTTGAACTGTGCAAAGCTTCTGCGACCTTTAACAGAAGTTCAGAAGGAAGACTTTTCCGATTTCTCCGCCATCGATCCAAAACATCCGTTACTTGTTTCTCTGACTGAACCACAAGTTTTAGAATTCTAGGGCCGCATCCTCTATAAATTGGTGAGAGGTATCCTGGTGAGCGATAGCGCACAATATTATTCAAAGCAAGTGTTGCACGAATGAACCGCCACTGTTCTAAATCGTGCTTTCCGGTCTCTTGAACACCGTTAGAAGGATGTTCTCGCACGCCATGTATGAAGATTGTGTTCAGGCGGTCTTGCTTGCTGTGCCCCTATTCGGTGTTTCTTTATCATTGTCGCGCGTTCCAATAGACATCAGAATAGATGCCTATTCCACAAAATCCGTGTTTTAGCGCGCTGGTGGTTTTGGTGTGGGTGGTGGTTTTGTGCGTGGGGATTTTTGGGGAGGTACACACAAATCGGTTTATAAGTCGGGGGAGGTTTAGTGGGGGTTCGAGTTTTAGTGGGGGGAGCAATAGTCGGGGAGAGACCGATTTAAGGGAGGGGGGGGGGGGGGGGGGGGGGGGGGGGGGGGGGGGGGGGGGGGGGGGGGGGGGGGGGGGGGGGGGGGGGGGGGGGGGGGGGGGGGGGGGGGGGGGGGGGGGGGGGGGGGGGGGGGGGGGGGGGGGGGGGGGGGGGGGGGGGGGGGGGGGGGGGGGGGGGGGGGGGGGGGGGGGGGGGGGGGTGCGGGGGGGGGGGGGGGGGGGGGGGGGGGGGGGGGGGGGGGGGGGGGGGGGGGGGGGGGGGGGGGGGGGGGGGGGGGGGGGGGGGGGGGGGGGGGGGGGGGGGGGGGGGGGGGGGGGGGGGGGGGGGGGGGGGGGGGGGGGGGGGGGGGGGGGGGGGGGGGGGGGGGGGGGGGGGGGGGGGGGGGGGGGGGGGGGGGGGGGGGGGGGGGGGGGGGGGGGGGGGGGGGGGGGGGGGGGGGGGGGGGGGGGGGGGGGGGGGGGGGGGGGTGGGGGGGGGGGGGGGGGGGGGGGGGGGGGGGGGGGGGGGGGGGGGGGGGGGGGGGGGGGGGGGGGGGGGGGGGGGGGGGGGGGGGGGGGGGGGGGGGGGGGGGGGGGGGGGGGGGGGGGGGGGGGGGGGGGGGGGGGGGGGGGGGGGGGGGGGGGGGGGGGGGGGGGGGGGGGGGGGGGGGGGGGGGGGGGGGGGGGGGGGGGGGGGGGGGGGGGGGGGGGGGGGGGGGGGGGGGGGGGGGGGGGGGGGGGGGGGGGGGGGGGGGGGGGGGGGGGGGGGGGGGGGGGGGGGGGGGGGGGGGGGGGGGGGGGGGGGGGGGGGGGGGGGGGGGGGGGGGGGGGGGGGGGGGGGGGGGGGGGGGGGGGGGGGGGGGGGGGGGGGGGGGGGGGGGGGGGGGGGGGGGGGGGGGGGGGGGGGGGGGGGGGGGGGGGGGGGGGGGGGGGGGGGGGGGGGGGGGGGGGGGGGGGGGGGGGGGGGGGGGGGGGGGGGGGGGGGGGGGGGGGGGGGGGGGGGGGGGGGGGGGGGGGGGGGGGGGGGGGGGGGGGGGGGGGGGGGGGGGGGGGGGGGGGGGGGGGGGGGGGGGGGGGGGGGGGGGGGGGGGGGGGGGGGGGGGGGGGGGGGGGGGGGGGGGGGGGGGGGGGGGGGGGGGGGGGGGGGGGGGGGGGGGGGGGGGGGGGGGGGGGGGGGGGGGGGGGGGGGGGGGGGGGGGGGGGGGGGGGGGGGGGGGGGGGGGGGGGGGGGGGGGGGGGGGGGGGGGGGGGGGGGGGGGGGGGGGGGGGGGGGGGGGGGGGGGGGGGGGGGGGGGGGGGGGGGGGGGGGGGGGGGGGGGGGGGGGGGGGGGGGGGGGGGGGGGGGGGGGGGGGGGGGGGGGGGGGGGGGGGGGGGGGGGGGGGGGGGGGGGGGGGGGGGGGGGGGGGGGGGGGGGGGGGGGGGGGGGGGGGGGGGGGGGGGGGGGGGGGGGGGGGGGGGGGGGGGGGGGGGGGGGGGGGGGGGGGGGGGGGGGGGGGGGGGGGGGGGGGGGGGGGGGGGGGGGGGGGGGGGGGGGGGGGGGGGGGGGGGGGGGGGGGGGGGGGGGGGGGGGGGGGGGGGGGGGGGGGGGGGGGGGGGGGGGGGGGGGGGGGGGGGGGGGGGGGGGGGGGGGGGGGGGGGGGGGGGGGGGGGGGGGGGGGGGGGGGGGGGGGGGGGGGGGGGGGGGGGGGGGGGGGGGGGGGGGGGGGGGGGGGGGGGGGGGGGGGGGGGGGGGGGGGGGGGGGGGGGGGGGGGGGGGGGGGGGGGGGGGGGGGGGGGGGGGGGGGGGGGGGGGGGGGGGGGGGGGGGGGGGGGGGGGGGGGGGGGGGGGGGGGGGGGGGGGGGGGGGGGGGGGGGGGGGGGGGGGGGGGGGGGGGGGGGGGGGGGGGGGGGGGGGGGGGGGGGGGGGGGGGGGGGGGGGGGGGGGGGGGGGGGGGGGGGGGGGGGGGGGGGGGGGGGGGGGGGGGGGGGGGGGGGGGGGGGGGGGGGGGGGGGGGGGGGGGGGGGGGGGGGGGGGGGGGGGGGGGGGGGGGGGGGGGGGGGGGGGGGGGGGGGGGGGGGGGGGGGGGGGGGGGGGGGGGGGGGGGGGGGGGGGGGGGGGGGGGGGGGGGGGGGGGGGGGGGGGGGGGGGGGGGGGGGGGTGGGGGGCTGCGTCGGGAGCGGGTATGGAGTGGAGGGAGGACCCTGGGGTGCTGGTCGTCGGCATGGCACACCCGGGGAGGCGCGTTGAGGATGCGGGCTTTGTCTCAGGTTGGACGTAGTGGTATTGGGGGGGCAGAGAGGCGGGGCGGGTGGGCGGGGCAAGCAGTGTGATACGATGGGTTGGTGAGAGGGCGGTGGTTGGACGGTATGTGAGTCATGCGTTGGTGCGAGACATCGTCTTT